GGGCAGTTGCCATTGCATTCTTTATTCCTTTTTATATCTTTCCCGGCGTGTCCTGTAACTCAAATTTAGTGGTTTAACTGCTGCATTTCTTCTCAGGATACAATATTGTAGGCAGCATTTTAAGCTTCTCTCCGAGTTCTTCAGAGTATTTGCAGAGAAAACGACCGTCCTGTAGCGAGCCCAGAAAATCCCAAAGGGGGGGGGGGGGTGGGAGTTATGCCTCATTGTGTTATGCCACGGCGACCGTCCACATATTTTTTGCAAACTGTAGCAACAGCAACCACAGTTCCCTGCTTCGGTTGGCACTTTTTTTGTCTTACGTTTACCCTTTCCGTGGTAAATTAATATGGGAGAGGTCAGAGATGCAATGAACTCAAGCAAAAACTTGCATGTAACTGAGGGAAAATTCCCATAAATTTGCCACTCAGAAGGATTTCGTCCATTTGAATCGCCGTGTCATCTTGCCTCTCTTCTCTCTCAGTCGAAACATCACGGCAGAAACTAAACCAGTCCACAACAGTCTGGTGGCAATGACCGGTAAGTTGCTCCACTTGTGCAATCAACAGGTCACCGCACCAGTAAAACGCGACCTCCAATATGCTTTCAGGAGAGAAGTTGCTCTGAGCTCGGCCACGGCTGTCGAAGTAGGTAAATAGGTTGTTTGAGCGGGGAACTGATTGCATTGACTGACACCCTTCATTCCTGCACTTGAAAGCAAGATAGCCATGACGGTCACATCTGGCTTCCTTTTCTTTCGAATGAACATCCTAGTCTCCCCTCCGCATGCAAGTCGAGTACACCGAGGAGGAGGAGTTAGATCTTCCAAAATGCCCTGTTCTTGGAGCTAGTTAACTGCGCTCTCCTCACTACAGAAAATCGAGTTTTAATCTTGGCTTCGCATCTTGGCAAGTGCTGCTCTCGATAGGGCAACGTGGCTCTATATGCATCTATACTAACTATGTATATTACGGGGTGTCCAAAAAGTCCCTATTTTGCATAAATATTTTGATGCTGTAGGGATAGTGATTGATAATGTTAAGTCTTCGTGGACGTGTGGCAGTGGTTTCACTTCGACTCCAAGGCAAGTCATTCAATCAGATCAGAAAACAGTTCCAAAGAAGATTTGGTTGAACAAATTGAGATGGAGGATTTAATGAATCACATTCTCTATACTGATGCACGGCGGACTGACGATTTAGGATTAAGTTCAAAAGCTTCTCTGATTGATTCCATTGTTTCCGGGAAAGTACGTGGACGGCCAGATCTTGCTTTATCATTTACCCGGTCTAAGTACACTTTTCAATCATGATCGAAATATCATCGCAACTCAAATCATCATAACTTAGATGATAACCGACGTCACGCTGCCGTAGGCCCCCCCTCCCACCATCTGCCGTCAAAGATGGCTCCTTTGTAAACTTCAATCATATAATGTGATTTTCACGCGGACAATTGCTCTATTGTATATTTCTAATTTTACCACCTCGACTGTTTGGAGACATGGCGTAGCAATTACCGACGAAGACCTCGTGTCTCTCTAGCGAAAAAGGATTGGAAGAGTTGTGATGGTTCTAGGCCTTGTGTAAGGCGTTTTTTCTCGATTGGTGAAACAACAGCTCTCGTTAGAATATGGTAGGGTAAGCGTACCCAAGCATTGTTCGAAATTGGGAAAGTGAGGAACAAAGCCATCTGGATATCCGATTTTTGGCTGTGATGTCCAAAGATGATTGGATTCGTCGGTGGTACGTTAAATGTCGCTCTCAATTACGATTTCGGTTTAAGTATGAAAATTCGATCAGTTATAGGGGTCCTGGAGGGATATCGAGTTATGATGATCGAGCTATCAGTAATGTGGGTCAAAGTATGGTTTTCGATCATGATCGAGTTATGATGATATTTCGATCATGATCGAAAAGTATACTTAGACCGGGTAATTGGCAGATGCTCTCCGTTTAATTTCGTTTACCAATTCACGAATTGCCTTGTCTGTGGGTCCAGGATTCTTTGGATAAATCTTCTTTGGAACTGTTCTCCGATCTCATTGCATGACTTGCCTTGGAGTTGGAGTGAAACCACTGCCACACGTCCACAAAGACTCAACATTATCAATCAATATCCCTACAACATCAAAATATCACTAATTCTGCAAAACAGATAGGGATTTTCCTGACACCCTGTATTATATCTCATAGTTTGTGTGTGCGTGTGCATGTGTCTGTCCATGCACGGCCACGCCTCTGATCCTATTCCGACCAAACATTGCATGACTTCCTCATTTGGTCCGGGTATGGTCATAGGCTAGGTGGCGTTTCAAAATTCGGACTCCCCGCGGTACCTTATTTAATGCAGATTTGACCGATTCACTACTACAGACCCCCCCCAAGGAGTCAACGTTTTGGGGGCTAAAAAAATGTAAGCTGCAACATGCAGCTTGCTACTGGAATTTTGTAATTGGTTGTTGTGAAAGTTACATAATTTAAACCATTTCTAGCCGGGTTTGCCAAATAATTATGCCAAAGGCATTAAAACAATATTAAATCCTCAAATATGGGACGTATACAATATTCACCCGTGCAACGCCGGGTACCTCTGCTAGTATACCACTCAATGTCCACAAAATTAGAGATACCCCTACATTCAACTTTCCATGCAGCTACAGAATAACCTAACCTAGGTTAGGTAGGTTAGGTTGTGACCTAAAGCAGGCAGCCCTGCTTTAGTGTGTGTGTTTTGACTGCAGAATAGGAAAATCAACAGACCTCAGCGACTTTGAACGTGGAACGGTCGTTGGTGCCAGACTAGCTGGTTTGAGTATCGCGGAAACCGTCAAACTGCTTGGCTTTTCACGTGTTTTCAGTTTCACGGGTATACCGTGAATGGTGTGATAAGCGAAAAACAACGGCTGCAAGGGCATCCTGTGGACGGCAGAGCCTCGTTGATGCTCGAGGTCAGAGAAGGCTGTCACGTATTGTTTTGGCCGACAGGCGGGCTACAGTATGCCAAATCACGGCAAAATTCAACGCTGGTGTCCCAGCAGATGGATACTTTCAGCAGGACAATGCACCGTGCCACAAGGGCCGTATCGTCATGGATTGGTTCGAGGAACATGCCCAGGAGTTTACCTTGCTCCAGTGGCCCGCACAGTCCCCTGATCTCAATCCAATAGAACATCTTTGGGATGAGGTGGAACGGGCTGTGCGGGGCTTGCCTGTACTGCCTTCAAACAAGCGGCAACCGAGTGACGCTGTGCTAGCAGCATGGGCCGGGATACCTGCAGAACGTTTCCAGCACCTCGTGGAATCCATGCCACGACGAATTGATGCTGTTTTGAGGGCCAAAGGCGGTCCAGCACGCTACTAGTGAGGTATCTCTAATTTTGTGGACATTGAGTGTATATATCAGATTCTTGTACAATGACACTGACAGGCATATTGGGTGACGCATGGGGGGGGGGGGACAGTCTGGGTTGAAATAAAAGACACCCTAATCCCTTCCTAAGCCCCCTAATACGCCTGTCAGATCACCAGGGACACCACTCTACATGGTAGGTCACACCTCATACGATTACCGACTTATGAAGTACTGTAATGTGAAAACCGTTTTCAAAGGTTTTCCCTTTCCTACCTAACCCAACTTAACCCTCAACTTCAAACTCAACCACACCTCCCTCCCCTCTTCTCTTCTAACGTTAGGCCTAGGCCTAACCGACGGATTGTCTTTGGATCAGGCCTAGGCAGGGACGTAGCCAGGGGGGAGGGGTGTCCTGGGTGTCTGGACACCCCCCGAAATGAGGCAAGATTTCATAACATGGAGTACGAGAGTGAAGGGGGGGGGGGCACTTCGTCATCCCATGAGCCTGAGAGAGACTCACAAGACACTCCCCGAAAATAATTCCTGGCTATGTTCCTGGGCTTAGGCCTACCTTTTTTCATTCAAATGAAACTTAATCCTCGGCTTAAGAGGCCAATTAGGCCTAAGAGGATCAATCCCTGGTCGAAACTTCTTCGAAACATCTCGTCGAGAACGTGTAACGTTAGGCCTATCGCAGGCCCATTCAGTCTCACACGATCCATTTCTGAGAGGACGTGTAACGTTAGGCCTATCGCAGGCCCATTCAGTCTCACACGATCCATTTCTGAGAGGACGTGTAACGTTAGACCGATTAAGAGGCCTATTTCGAGTTTCATGAATCATTTCAGTGCGGACGTCAACGTTAGACTTCTATTCGACTTCTATTCGAACATTAGACTGGAATTCCTCGAACCATCGCGATTGTGCCTCTAAGAAGCATGAAATACAGGGTGTGGCAAAAAGGAGCACATTTTGAATTCAAATATCTCATTAATGAAGTCAAATGTTTACCTAATTCAAAAAGTAAAATAAAGTACGAAGTTTGGAGTTTTAGTTCATCCTCTAAGTTTTGAAAATGATGTCACTTAGATGACCACCACCTCGGGTAGCACATTCCTGCGCTCGTGCTCTCAATTTTCTGAGAACGGCGGCAGAAATCGCCCGAATTTCATTTTTAATATTGTCCTGGAGCTCGTCAATCGTTCGAGGTCTCTTTACACACACCCTTTCTTTCGAGTAACCCCACAGAAAGTTATCTGGAGGACTTTCTCAAGGAAAACGCGTTTAAAGGGAACCCGGAGACGTCCTGAAGGAATTGGAGACGAGAATCGTTTCATCAGTCGAGCGTGAAGTTCAAGCTGCTATCAGAAACTGTGCCGTGCGTGTTCTCAAGGGTGCTGACCTTCGGGAGGTCATGTTGATAATATTATGTAACGAGATAAAATTGGGAGAGTTTTCCTATGAATCAGTTTGTCTCCCATATCGGTTAAGACAAAATTTTTTATCAGCTTTCGAAACGAAGAACATTTTTGTGCCGCATCCTGTACTTGCGTTGGCTGCGCAAGTACGGGATGCGTCGACGAGAGAAGGGGGCGGGCTGAACGAAGTCATTCGTAAAGGTCTCGTGCAGTTAGATTAGATTTAGTATAGACGCACTGAGGGACCCGGGATGAAGCGTTTGGCTCGACGATCCGCTCTTTTCCGAGTTTCCTCCTCCTGCATCTTCTACTTCATCGTCTTTCTTACCTATCGGTTCTTCGCGGGAGCAGAGGAATCCCCTGGTAAGTCCTCCACTTTTCGCCATCGTCATTGCGGGGCGGTAATCTCGTCGGGTGAAATTTATCTGTAGTCTTGTATCTATATCTTCCTGCATGGCATGTTGCGCGCGATCTCGCTCCCCGATCCGTCGTTTGCCCATCCTTTGCCTTACCTTTAACCTTTCAGGGTCATTTGAAGCCCTTTCACCTTTCACTGCGAGCATATGTACAGTGAAATCTGTGTAATACGGCCACAAGGAGAATTTCCTACATTTCGCCGGTTCTGACAGGTCGCCGCTATGAAGAGGGGAGATCCCTCCCTTTTTTTTTTCTCTAGGCAAACTGTCATGTACTTAGAGTCAGTTTTTCAGGAAAATTAAACACACTGTATGCTCCAAAGGTATTGTATTTTTGATTTTGTGAGATTTTAATTATAACATCAAGAGAAATTTGGAGACCATTATTTCAGTGTGAGTATGTCTGGAATGTTCGTTTGACGCGCACACATTTTGCGTTCGCACATTCGCTCCTGGAGAGACGCTTCGTGATCGCTTCACCTGACTCGTGCATCCCCTTCTCTGCCAAAAAGCACTTCAGCTTCTCCGTAGTACTCGATGGCCTTTAAGAAGAGTGAGATACACGGAAGAACGAGTGGCAGTTCAGCACTCTTGATGATCGTTCTCTCGCTTTCGAAACTCCGGAGATGTGACCTTGGCAACCAAGCGACGGATCAATTCGGGGATTGGAGGGGAGGGGAGTGGAAAGTAGTGAAAGGTAGGAAAAGAGGGAAGAAAGGAGGGAAGCTGCGAAGCAGGGAAAAAAGGAAAGTAATGAACCTGTGATCTTTCCTTCCTGTGTTCTGGCAGAATTAAAGAGTGGCCAGCACAGAATGTCTTCAAATCCTTGACCGCTGGCCGCGTTTGACAGGTGGGCGGATCAAACAGGTTATATTAGCATTGAGCCTATGAAGCTAACGATTGGGACTGAGGTCTTCCGAAATTCTGAGATTCGGCCACCTTGATATTACTGCCTCAAATAGGAGGCGGCCGTCAGGTGGCCGAATCCGCAGGTTTAACTGTATAAAGCTGTTTTTGGTGTGTGGTGTGGCTCAACAAACTTGCCTCAGTGACATAGCCACTATTTCGCCAATGGAGGAGCTAAACGAAACGGTAGGGAGGGGTTTGAATTTCCCTTACTTCTATTCGTTGGGGGTAGAGGGGTGGCGGATGCATTTCGACCAGAATTGGGGGGGGGGGGGCTTCAACCAAACTCGGTGGCTGAAGCTCCCCCCCCCCCTTGGTACGCCACTGACCTGCCTCCGTGGTTNCCCGGGGGCTGAAGCCCCCCCCCCCCCCCCTTGGTACGCCACTGACCTGTCTCCGTGGTTAACGAATCATGCCAAGTTTAGCTGAATTTGATGTAGTCGATTTACTAGCTTCGTCCCAGTACCATCCAGGCATTCAAAATTTTGAATGCCTGGTACATAGCTAGTAACAGAATATTCTCGCTTGTCTTTCAACAACGCATTCGTGAATGCTTATTCATATATCACGAGGTTCAGCGTGGTCACACCAGACATCCAAAACCAGGATAATCTATATTCTGGTTTTGGATGTCTGGTGACACTCCTGACAGGGTTACAGAGCGAAGCACATCTGGGACCGGCACCGACAGGCAACGAATGCAGAAGTGTCCCACGAGGCAATTGTAACCCAGATGAGACTCGCGCAGTCAATGAGTCACCCAACAGAGGTGGACTTCAAATGCATGACTAAATCTAATCATAATGGCTGTCGAGTTCAGGCCATCGCGTGTCCTCACGTGAAGGAAACACGTTCAAGAAGCACATAAAATTTCGCTAAGCTGTGCTTTATAAAGTCTTCAACATTTGCCAGATCGTATTCATTGTGGGCATTGCGTGAAGATGAGTCTGTTTAACCCTTCCCCGGTTTGTTGGGGAATTTCCGGCGAAAACACATACCTCTGAGAAAATTACCTGGTATTCTTTGCTCGTGCATTTACTTGAAATTTTTTTGGCGTCAATCAAAAGTGGAGAGAGCGGAAAATGTTTTCTTATCAAATTTAGGCATCTAGCTCATGAATCTAACGGTACAGAAGCCGTTTTCTTGGTCGTTGTTTGAAGAAAAAAACCGTGACAATCGTTTTTTATCGTCTTTTGCTGGTTTCTAAAGATGGAGGGGCAGGTCTTTCGTGCATCTGTGTATCTCAGTCCTTTATTATTGCGTCGATAGGAAAATGATAAGGAATCCGGCTGGACTGGAAAAATGGGAAAAAAAATATATTTTTAATCCCAAGAGCGCCGTAAATAAAGACCTTCACGGGCTCCCCTTCCAGCTTCCGCCGACGAGAAAGGCTTTCATTACTTTTATGACTCGTGACAGGAGACGCAGTGCAGCGGAGGGCTCTTTCTGGAAGAGCCAATCACGTGGAGGTATTCCGCGCGAGAAGTGAGGCTAATATTTTTCCCGAGTTCTTATGTTTTCTACATAACATCATTCCTTTATTTTGTAACGCAGACAGTTAAAACTTCAAAACCATGTTACTGTACTATCTAGCTCTGCATGTATCAAATATGTAGCCCATTCTACATTTCATTCTGGAGATCTAAGCCATTATGTCATCTAACATTTTTGCCAGATTTCTCTATGGCAAACCGGTTAAGGGTTAAATCGGATGAGAACCTGCTTGTGATAACTCTGGTCGGTCCTGAGATTCCTTCGATTCATTCTTAGGGAGCGGATTTGCATACTGTAGCATGCTTTGTTTTTCTTTTGATCATTTTCAGGCTCCTCATCTGTGGGGAATTATATCAATGCAACTGCCAAAGTTAAATTCAGATCTCGTGGAAAATAGCACTTCTGACATGTTTGAATCCTTGATGCAGGTGGATCCCGAGTTCGGAACAATTTAATTCTTTATCACCCTTCATTGAAACATTTCCGTAGCATGCTTTTGTAAATCATTGCATATTCAGCTCCGTTTTTGCAGCATGAAAGCAGCGTCAAAAAGCAGCGTCATTTGCATATTTATAGAGCATGAAATTCCGCTCCCAATACAAGTCAATGTGCTCGTGAAGACTCCCAGAATCCACCAGATGTATCAAGTTCGATCTCTGAAAAACAACCGCTCATTATGTAACCAGCCACGAGGATACGAACACATTATTCGTCGAACGGTATGTGATGCTCAAAGAGACGTAAATGCCATTACATTATGCCATGTTACGCCAGTTGTCCAAATGCGTTCATCTCCAGGGTTGGCATATAGTCCAGGCACGTGCACAGTCTCTCTTCTCCTTTGCATTACTTACCCCTTTCATGTAACCCTCCAGCTAGCGACCGTGAAAAGAATTCATGATTGCAGTAGTATATGAATGAGGAAAGAATACTTAAAAAAGCGAAACAACGTTCGTAATGACTTCTGGATGGATTCCTTCTGCAACAACTTCCTTGGAGTTGTTTCCTTGTTCGGCTGGTCGCTCTTGGAGACTCTTGAAGGCCTTCCTTAAAGTTGCACGTCGAGGACAGATGTCTTCCGAGCGGGCTTCGTGTCATCTTCGTTGGTGCAGGCTTTCGCGGTTCAAGTTTTTTTTGGTCAGTCGGCCTCTTTCTCAAACCCTCGCCCCTGCAATCGCACGTTCTTCAATCGTGTGGGGACTCGTCACTCGCAATCATCGACAGGTCTCCCGGAAAGAGTGAATATTTAAAGAAATATCACGAGAGGCTGCAAAGATGTCGGGACCCTAAGCCTGCTTCGTGCACCCCAGGTTTCTAGCTTGTTGCTCCACCGAACCGGGAAAGCGATCCCACCTCTACCTTGACCTGCACCACTTTCATGTACTTGCTCTATATGTAAGGCAGCCTTGCAAATGCAGAGAAAAAGATATGGAGATAATTTCAACGAGAGGCGATATCGTCTGAATGAGCAGGAGTCGAACGAATGATTTTTTTTTAGAATGCTATTTCATCTTTACTCAATTTGCGTTTATGCTTTCTTGGAATTCCGGCATTCCCCTATAAGGGAAAAATGAGTCCCTATTCAAGATGAAAAGAAGTTCAAATTGAATTTGCTCTTTGGCCTCGTAGAAGACCCTCAGCCTCATCCAGATTCCTTTATGGCCAGAGTTGCGAGACCAAGCCCGACGTAGACGAGGTAATGAGTGCAAATCATGTTTGCGTGGGAAGATCTAATTCGATTGTCGATCTAAAGGTTCTTTTTCCTCTTGCAAATCGGATTAAACGGGAATATTGCGAAATGCTGTCGATGAGACATAATTTGGGATTCACTGCAATCTCGCACTAATCCTCTCATTTGTATCATCCAGCTTCCTGTAGGCTTTTCGTTAGGGCGTTCTCAATGAGAACTGAAAAAGGATTTGCCACTGGTAGGTGCTAACGAAGACGCGAGGGAATGAGAAGAGGCATGAGGGATATTCAAAGCAAAATTACCTGGTACATGGTTCAATCCCTTACAAAAGGTCCCCCTGGACAAACCCTGGTGGATAGGGGGTGAATTTGGAACCAGGGGGACGTCCCACCCGGTGGAAATCCACCTGCCCATTCCCTCACACGTATACCAAACAGTTTCATGTACCTGGGTTTTAAGAATAAAAATCAACAGTCTTTCAATGCGGAGTCATTAGATGTACCTTTTCCGCACATAAGGCGGATGGAGTTTCAACACTGCTCGTGTCACGTGGGTGGCTGTTATGGCGCTGCTGAGGAAGGGTAACGCGGATGAGTGAAGGCTTGCGTGGGTTCAGCGCCAAGCCTCAGGTGAACAAGATCTTGCAACGTGGGGAACGGAAGACAATGGGTTTCTATTGGAGCTAGGTTTAATCACGTTTACAATAACATCCTCCAAGGGGAGGTCACCAAGATGTTGAAGGAATGGTTTAAGTTCTGATGCCCGGGAAGTGAGGGGAGGCTCCCGAGATGTACTGCAGAGACGAAGATTGGCAGGCGTGAATGCGGAGGAGACGTGTCGGACGAGAAGAGAAACAGTAGGTGCGAATGGCACCAAGTATGCTCAGCGAATGCCTCATGATATCGAGAGACCGCTATTTAAGGGCAAAGCTGGCCGGAGAAAGTAGTCCTCCAGGCCAAGGTGAGGGGGCTGGGTACATGCCCCATGGCGAGGACGAAAAGGGTGAAAGAGATGAAAGGGGTCATAACAGGGAAAGAAAAGGAAATCCTTCGAGTACATGACACTCGAACGAATTCTCTCTCACTTGACGACATAAAGGCTGCTTTTCACGCGATGTCCTCGTCGTAGTATCGATTCTGATGCTACGACGTACGACAATAATACTATTCTACGACGTGTAGAATACTACGACGAGAACATGGCATGAAAAGCAGTCTTTATGGCGTAAAGTGAGAGAGAAATCGTCACTCAACAGGTGGAAATACGCCTGGGGGGTGTTGCTACACTTGGTTCCAAATCTGCATGGGTGATGGACGTTTTGAGAAGATTTTACCAGTGTAAACAGGCAAAGGTACTGGAGGAGCGTTTTTTTTGCTGTGTTTTCGTTCTCTAGGATTTTCGAGAACCTTCAAAGTACTCTCTTATTTTCACGTCAACGTTCTTCCCTCTCAACGTCCTTCCTTCCCAACGAAATTTCGGAAGCAATAAAAGGTCGCAAAAAAAACTCAACTTGTTTTCTCAAACAATTCGGGCTGATTGAACTTATGCATGCAGGAGTCAATATTGCTCGGTTTCGAATGTTCTTTGTCGCCATCATCCTCAGTCGACACGCCGAGATCCATGGCATAGTTCACATCGCATCTCACTAATAAAAAAGTTCGTCTTACCAATCATCCTCTGTCACCATGCCTTCAGGAAAATTGTCTCCATAGTTTTCCGAACGCGAACGTCCCGCGACGAAGAAAAGCCGCATAGGCTTTTCTAGAGATGATCGATGGACCAAGTTGGGGATTTTCCCTCACATCGAATTTCGTGAGCATGTATAGTGCGGCGAGAATCGGATTGGTTGTTCCCTCAGGTTGAATACCCAATGTCGTCAGACTTTACGTCCAACGTGACGGATCTACCGTGGAACGTAGATCAGAACCCAGGCTTCTCTTTTTACATGTTCATGACGATCTGTCACCTTGGAAAGTTGAAAGGGCTCTGTCCTGTAGTTTCCGCTATCTAGAGCGCGACGGCAGGCCGAGAGAGAGAGAGACGGAATGGGAGAAACTGGAAGCTGAGAGAAAACCCGACGCCGCAGATATTTCTCCCTTGCTTATTGAAATCCGAGACTCTTCCCGACGAATAGAATAACTGTTAGTTTCAGATGAGGAGGAGGTTGTGAGAAGCCGACATTTGCTGTCGCAGAACTCGAATTGTACTCCGCCGGCCATCGAGGAATTCCCTGGGGATTTCCTCAGTCCCTCGCAGAGGAATCGCGGGGGGGTCGTCATCCATTTCCTCATCGGCATCTACCTGTTCGTCGCCATTGCCATCGTCTGCGACGAATATTTCGTCCCGTCTCTGGATGTCATCTGCAAGGGTAATCGCCGATCCGGTCTCGCGCGATCGCGGATCCCCCTATCCGAAACGACGTCTCTGTCTCACCGGTAGAGCTGCACATGTCCTCGGACATCGGAGGAGCGAGCTTGATGGCGGCCGGGTCCTCCTCTCCCGAGCTCTTCACCAATCTGCTCGGGACGTTCTTGACGGAAGGGGACATCGGATTGGGGACCATCGTCGGGAGCGCCGTCTTCAACATCCTCGGGGTTGTCATTCTGTGCGGTCTTCTTGCCGGCATGGTTCGTCTTTCGCACGTTTCCCCATTTCGAGGCCTCACGAGGTTTCACGAGGCCTTGGAATTTAAAAAGGCTACTCATAAGAAGTTACATTCGAGTCATGCAAAGGGAATGATGCAGTCGACGTAACGGATATCGCAACGCTAATGCGATATCAACTCATCCTGGGATTAATAGTAAGAAAGGCTGCCGAATGTGTCCATGCAGGTGATCTCTGTGGATTTCTGGGCCCTCAGTCGCGATTGTGTAGCCTATGGAATTTCCGTCATCATCCTTATTCTCGTCATCGATGATGAACTAGTGACCTGGTGGGAAGCTTTCATATTCCTCATAGCATACTTCCTCTACGTCATCGGCAAGCCTATCTCCGATCCCCTTTCTCTAAAATTTATTTTCCATTTATTGTGTCAATCCATATCCTCTGTCTTTTTTCTTCAGTAATGGTTTTCAACCCATCCATTGAGCTTTGGGTCAAGAAGAAGGTCTCGGAGTGGGGATGGAAGCTAGTAGCGACCGGAGATTCGGAGAGCGACGGAGAACAGACGCCAATCTTGTCTAGTCTGGTTTCCGACTCCGTCGCGTCGCATGGCCGTATCTCTTAACGTCATTCATGAATTCTGGGTGATCTTTTAACAGGGTGCTCCTTGGAGGAGGGAAAGAACTCGGAACCTGTTGCGATCTGTAACGGATGGTGTCCACCGGGCCTCGAAGAGGAAGGGAGCTTGGGGTGGCGAATCTACTGGACCCTTACTTGGCCCATCCGTCTCATCTTTTTTTTTACCATCCCCGATTGCAGAAAGAAGAGATGGAGGAAATTCTACATCGTCGCCTTCATAAGCTGCCTCATCTGGATCGGCGTAATCGCTTACCTGGCCGTCTGGATGATCACCATCATCGGTAGGTCGTTTCCCACGTATGCATATTTTGGGAAGTGTGAAAAGAAGCAGACAGGCTCCAAGAGTTCATTAATCTCCTTCCAATTCGTTTTATTTAGGATTCCCAGTACGTCATGGCCTGGTCTCGTTCATTTTCAATACCGTTACCTTTTAATGTATAGGTTGCATGTACAGGTCGGTCTGTTTCGCGTTGACTGGCTCCCTGCATGGTGACATCATCGTATCGATCGAATAGGGCTCGTAGTACATCGTGGAGACATATTTATATTCATTAATATGGCTCTCTCGTCCTCCAGTGAAAATATTAATAGGATGAAAGTGCGGAAGTGAGAAAATATAAGAATGGATAGAATCAGAGTCGTGCGTGGGGAGCACAAGAAAGGGTTCTCGTGAAGAGTTCCCTCTGATGGAGGTGGCAGCGAAAGAGGGCGACTTCTGCATTAAAAAATCGCTCGAAGTGGCTTTACGTCAGGAGAAACATCCTGAAAATATGGTTTGAGATCAATATTATTATAATCAATTCACGTAGGTGAGTTGATAACTTTTATTCTCAGGTGCGCATGACTTTTGGGGCATTGCGCAATTGTACTTGCTTGCTTCTCCGAAGTAATCAGATTTTATTTAACCAAGGAGCGGCAAGATGTGCTGGTAGCCATTTAAAATGATTTTTGTCTGAACTATGGATGAAACTGAATAAACGGTTGCGGTGAATTTCTAGGATCTCAAATGATAGCATGTCATGCCATCTGTTAGCAGATTAGAAGAACTAAATGAAGAAATTCGAAAGTGTCGGAAAATCAACAGTGCCGCCATAGCGATGGGTGAACTGTCGATTGAATTGATTGGCAGTTGTAGCTTCTAGGGTTAAAAGAAAATACGTGCTTTTCTTTCAAGACCTTCTTAAGAAATACTTTAATGATGATTCATGTTAAGGTAGTTAAACATTATTTTGCCATAATAGCGTATTGGAACGCTCACATACAGCTGCGCTTTGTGGTTTCGCTCCGTAAAGTATTGTATGGATCATTAGGCGCGAAGCGATGACATTGAAGGAATTTGCTGTGCCTCCAAAAAGTGCAGTTCAACATTCTCTACTTGTTGGTTCTGGTCACTCATTCCTATTCTGCTGGAAGTTGAGCCTATTGCCGAACTGACTGGAGGATTGAAAGTAAGTACAAAGTCATGTCGTTTTCATGGTTTGTGAGGCACAAAGATCATCCCAAAGAAAGTTGCGAAGTAAAACACCATTCAGAAAAGGCTTCAGCGCATTTTCCCTATTGTGGAGACGTGAATCTAAAATAAGCCAGGGGGCATATGGGCAGTGACGGCTCGTCAGGGTAGGCAGTGCCTACCCAGTTTAAAATCAGAGTTCTTAAATAAATATTTTCTAATTAATTCTTCGATTTGCACAGCTGGAAATACTTTTTTTCCAATGCGAGGTAATAGCAAAACAAGATAATGCATCCAGAGTAGGTACGGCGCTGCCTGCCTACGTTGGCTAGGCACGAATTCCTACGAGTCCAATGCAGGAACGAGAGGAGGGAGAAAGGGAAGAGAACTGCAATACCGGAATGAGTGAGGGTAGGCTTGCCTACGGTGCGCAGTTACTCCTTGCGCAGGAAGGTTGAGAATCGCTTGCTTACGCCTTCAGCTCAGAAGCACGTGCTTGTAGAAGCCTCTGTGGTTGTCACACCTGATCAGACTTATTCTACAGTATTATGCAGACTGAATAAGGAATCACTCCGAACAGGCTTCTGTCAGTCTCAGTTCCCTATTCCTACCCTCTCTCTCAGGAAGAGGCACTGTTACCAAGTGATGTGTTGTTAGACTGACAGTGCTTCGCATCCCTCGGGTGTCTTCCAATGATTGCAATGGTTGCATTCATTAAAGGTTTTAATCTTCGTCACTTTTCCTTTTAGATGCAAGTAATTTCCTTGATGGATAGTTCTGATTATATTAGAATTGGATTTACAATTTTTGAATGCAAAAATTCTAAACCAAGCCTGTAGCCAGGGGGGGGGGGGGCAGGCACCATTAATAAGGGATAGGTCCAAGTGTTTTATCCTTTCCTTCAGTTTATAATGTTGCACTAATATCTTGGGAGTGATTTTACGTTTGCTCTGACACAAAGTTGCTTCCTGGAAGGCTTCTTTTGGCGATCAAGGGCTAGTCCATTGAGCACCGGAATATGTTCTCCTATTGGGGTGGAAGAGTTGTTTATCATAAAGCCAATTGACCTCAAAGAGGTTTTGTATATTGCATTTTGTATATTAAAATACATTTGTATATGTTTTGTATATTAAATCGATACTGCAATATTGAAAAAGACAAGGTCCATTATACTTCTCCCGTTTTGGACAAGGCACTTGCATGCCGATCGGTTGTTGAGGAGTCGGAGGCCTATACCAGTCGAAGAGAATCTAGATTTCACATTCCTTATCTGCCTTGGTGTTGAAGTCTCCAGACAGAAGAACCGGATGGCTGCCAATGTCGATAGGTCAAGGCCTATGGCACACACTCGACTAGTTCTTCAGTCGGGGTAGATGGAGGAAGATGCACACATGCATGCAGCACATGATATCACTCACTGTTTTCCCACGACCACTGCATCGCCATTTTGGAAAATAAGGGATGGACAGAAGAATGGTTTCTCAATTATAGTGACCACCCTGTAGCTTCCCGGTTCCACTAGGCTAGTTAGTGTAAGCATGAAAGCAATAGAATCCAGGGATACCGAGGTTTTCCGTCAAGAATGTTTCAGTTAGACGGAGAATATAATTTTTCTTTCTTTATATTTTCAAATTCATCCACATGAGGAATCTTTTCATATTGACTTCAGACCTATATTGCATGCAGCAAAAATATAGCATGTCACGTACCCTGTTTCTGAAACGTTTAGATCCTCTATAACACCAGTAGAGTTGCATTGTAGCCTCCAGACTTTCTAACCCCTCTTTGGGGACGGGCAACAAAAAAAAACCTAATAACACCCCAGCATCCTTGCCAGTCTATCATGGTACCTCTGAGTACCCTGGCCCACAGGTTGAGAACCGCTTCTCTGAAGAGTTTTCATAGTGCTCTTTTACGGTCGAGCTCTCACTGGATGCACAAGTCTTTTCCGGTGTCCTTTTAAGCGTGTAAAATTAGTAGGCTCTGCTGAAGTCCATTTTCTTCACTTTTTTTTAGAGCCTTATGTAGAAATCCACCCGACTGTTTTTGCATTGTGGAATAGTTGGTGAAGTGTAGTATTTTGGCCACAGCTCCATGGGAGTTTTCCCATTGCTAACATGGCTGCACGCAGCAAATGAAATGCCCTAATACGTCACGTTTCCACCTAAATCCAGTGCATTTAGCTGAACACGTGATCAACGAGAATGTTTCCCCTTGCTCTTTCCATTCACTAGGTTACACCCTAGGCATACCCGACACCGTGATGGGATTGACGTTCCTGGCAGTTGGAACGAGCGTCCCTGAAATGATCTCCAGTTTCATCGTTGCCCGACAAGGTGAGGAAAAGAGAGGACCTAAGAGGAAGAAAATAATTCGAGTGTTTGGATTATTTTACAAGCGTCTGTACCCGTCAATGCTCGCCAATGAACTGATGACGAAACGGAGGAAACTGTTTGTTTGCTCATCGAGGTGAAGGAACTTTAGAGCTCTTTGTGGCACTTATATGCGCTCATCTTCAAGATGGGTGGGCTCGGATCCGGCTTGGATCCGATTCGGGTACGACTCGGAAGCTGTCATGGAATCTTCTTCAAAACGATCCATTTCCACTTTTTCTGGATTTGCACTTCAAACGTGCATAATATTCTGGCCCATAGGCCAGAATTTTCTCGGAGCGTTCTTGTTCTCAAGATAACAGACACCCCCACATCAGATTGGGAACTCATTCCTAGGTTCTGCTTCGGAGGAGTTTTCAAATTCGAAAGAATTTAAATGGCCAAAAAAAATGAGAGTCCTGGATTTTCCATCCAATGGGAAATCCAACAATTTTGATGGAAAAGTTCTCCAGCATAAAAACTACTCACCATAGCCGGAGGAAAAGTTTCACAACATGGGAGGAAAACGTTTGAGAAAAAAAACGAAGCCAGAGGTCTCAGAAGGGGTACTGCTGATGGGTCCTCTTGTATATAAAGCAGATGTAGCCATGGATGGGCAAATACGAGGCAGCTGTGAAGGACGAAGCCAGTTATGTCGCCTCTTCTTGAATCCATCCGAGCAAGAGCATTCCACATATGTTATTTGCTGCTTATAGATCAGCATCGGTGTAGACCACTCAAGAACTGATCGTCAGAGCTTCATGGCAGCATTTTCTTAATGCGCATCATGCTGTACATACAAATGACGTCACACCAGCAGCACCCTTACGATTTTTTTTTTCGTGCAGCGTTTTCCCAAGATTTTGTAGAACTATTCCCCAAGTTTCAATGAGCTGCAGTGCATGGTTATTTATGCTGGAGTGCCATACATCTATCAAGTGACTTTAAAATACTCAATACATCAACGAGACCAGGATATCAAGAACGATTAAGTCTCTCATTCCTGAATCGAAATATTTCCTATCTCTCTCGCCCGTGATGCGACGACAGGACTCGGGACGATGTGCCTAAGCAATGCAGTGGGGAGCAACACGTTCGACATCTTGGTCTGCTTGGGACTCCCTTGGTTCGTGAAAGCTGCATTCCTTCCCTCGGATCCGACGACGAAATCCATCCGCATCAATTCCGAGGGAATCATCTACAGTGCCATTGCCCTCCTTTCCTCTCTCATCATCTTGTATCTCGCATTGTTTTTCAATCGATTCGTCTTGAATCGACGAGTGGGATCGATCTGTTTTATTCTATATATCATCTTCCTTGTTTTTTCCCTCCTCTGGGAATTGAACGTGTTCGGGATCGTGAACCTTCCCACGTGCCCCTCCTCGGCCTGATTCTCATTTCTCCGAGCCACAAATCCGCATCGTTCCGAGAGTCATTTGAGGCAACATTTCCTAGAAAACACGTATTTCTAGTTGTACGTACGAGAAGGGGGGGGGGGGGGGGGCCTGCAATCATTCGAGGAAAGCAATCTGTAGGTGTTCTTGCCTTCTTGGACTTCCGGTTCGTGCCAAATTTTGAAATAAGCCTAAATGTATTTATCGTATATTGGTGGAGCTCAATAAATTTGTGAGAGAACAATTCGCAAAGCATTATTTTTTTCTTTATAGGACGGACTCATTAAACTATGTGGAGACTAACAAGTGTTCTGGAAGAACTTTTCTTCGTGGTACACGTGTGATGAAAAGACTCTAGTGCACAGGCACTCTTACTATTCCACATTAATTTTATAAATATTATTTATGGGTACAACACACGGTTTTGGAGATTTTAAGGTCCCAATTATGAATGTTCAAGATATGGTACAACACCATCCCATAGTAATTTAATGGATTTTCACCAAAAGGTAAATGCGAATATTCCTTAAGTTGAATAGTCTTCCACGGGCCGTTATGATGCCTTTCTGATATATTTTTATGCCAAACAACCACCTGCATTGTACACTGTTTTCTGATTGGTACCCCCCACCCTAGGAGCGCTTCTATCAAGTACAGGCAGGACACAACCAACGTCCACATCCAACAACCATGTAGAGCATCAGGTTTGACATCTAGAGGATCGTCTGGAAAGCTTGTGTTTTCTACGCTCCAGAGTAGGGGGGGTACCAATTCAATCCGAAAGTAGTGTACCGGCTTTCTGTACAGTTAATAAAGAACTTGGCGACTGAATGAATGAATCAGAACTACGCGGCGACGTTAGAGTTGCATGCATTGGCTTTGGGGGTGAGTGGCGTTCAGTTTTTTTCGTTCAAAAGAAACTCAATCCTCGATTTGGGCCTATATGGATTAATCCCTGGTCTTCGAGACATCTCGTCGAGGACGTGTAACGTTAGGCCAATCGCAGGCCTATTCAGTCTCTCACAACCCATTTTTGAGAGGACGTGTAACGTTAGGCCGATTTGAGGCCTGTTTCGAGTTTCATGAGCCATTTCAGTGCCGACGTGGAACGTTAGGCCTATCTTGAGTTCCTCTCGTCTCGACTAGGTCTAAGGAGAGAGAACGTTGGGCACCATACAGTTCAGGGATGTCAGTGCACGGCATCTCCATATCCCCCCCCCCCCCCCCTCCCCCCACATCGATCGGCTACTGATAACCACCGTTTCAATCTCAGCTCATCCCATGAACTCAGCACATAAAGATCTCATACATTAAAAAATAGAAGATCTAGACACCGATACTGAGGCCGAAGACGTCATGAATAACTTTGGCACGATATCTGGCAGCACGGGGAGACGGGACCGGAACCATCACGCTAAGCCTAAGTGAACGACAGCTAACATCATTTTTTTTTTTTGCTAAATGGTGCACCGCAAACAACAGCACTTTTCGTCACCTACAAGTTAATATGCTTCTTTTGGTTGGTCTCTTTCCTCCGAAAACTCCCCAGGAGTTGCTTCTCAGGGGGGGGATAAGAAAAGGAAAAGAAATTCACCTCTTCACAAAGCGAGATTCAGTGTTCTTCACAACCCCAGGGAGATGGGGCTTCAAATTTGCTGGGGCGATTCTATGTTGAGAGAGGAAGAAGCATGCCAACTTTCGTTCCTGTTGATGCTCTCAGAGAAGAATGCAAAGTGGTTGAATTTTGTTGCCGAAAGGAGTTGAAGAAAGGCGCCTTAGTGACTATTAATTTTTCGAACGAATAAGGTACCATAAACAAACTGTCGTTCCCAATGCAGGAGATTTTTTCATCTTTATTCATTAGATTAGATTTGCCGAGGTTTGTCTGCAGAGGGTGGCTATCATCCGACGATGTATTAGACCAATATTGCAATATTGCAGACCAATATGTTGGTTCAATATTTGTTCAATATTTGGTCAATATTGGTCCGATACAGTGTGTTAATGCAGATTATTTCATCGTTACTGTCATCTTACATGACCCGCCACATCATGGCGTATCTATTCATAGATTATATAGCATCCTGTTGTTCATCCGGCATCGTCCGACAGGATGCTGATAATACTTTTATTGTCCATGGACTCGATCCAATCTGTGCACGAGGTCAAGAGTTATGGGGGAGAAAAGGTTATAAAACGAAAGAGCTGCAGCCCTGCCATCTGCCAATTACTCGAAGCAACAAGGTTTCCACAAGAGAAGAGAGATGACGAATGAATCGCCGTTGTTGTGGGTCATGCCCGTGGAGTCCAAGAACCTTTCAAGGAATTCCCCGCACGAAATTCGTGGAAATGGAATGTGCTCCAATCGTATTTTCGCCATTAACCGATCTTTAGACATATAAAATGCATGGTTCTATGATGTAGACCAGTGGCGGATGCAGAAAGTTCTCACGGAACTTCATTGAGCTGATCGGGAAGGTATAGGTACGAGTAGATCTAATAGGTATATCTGGCAGGTAGATCTGGTAGGTAGGTCTGGTAGGTAGATCTAGTGTCGTAATCAAGCATGCGGGAATTTCGGTCGATTGCGTTCATCGGTCGAGCCAGAATCATTGGTGGAGTTGACACTTTGATAGGGTGAACTCTTCCGAAGATTCTCCAAAACTACGAAAAGTTGTGAGACAAAATTTAGCATATACAGTGGGCCCTCGATATCCATCGTTAATTGGTTCCTTAAAAGTGCGACGGATAAAGAAACGACAGATACGGAGCAATAGACTCGCATGTTATAATGATAACTCGTTCCAGGGAAGTCATATACTTGAGCACTAAACTCATTGAGTGGCGACATGACGACGGATACGAGAACCGACGGGCTGGGAAGTCGACGGATATCGAGGGTCCACTGTACATTGGTGAACCGAAGTGTGACCAATATGAGTTCCTTAAATAAATTAAAAAAATTACATCGTAAAGCCAAAATAAATGTTGAAGAGCGAATGAAGGCCTATGCATTCGTAGGATGTATTTATAGCATAAGTGGCTGAAGTGGAAGTTTCTCTTGCGAGCCGGTTCCCCTTGCCATGCCGTCCCTGACGAGATACAATCTTGTCCTACCTCCAGGAATGCAGCGAATTCTCATTTCACTCTTGCCCCATTTCGGAGGGTATCCAAACCCCTTTGACACTGATACTGGCTGAGTCCCTGGAATCTGACGAGTCCCATTGCGAGCCTAGCAAGGTCCACATTGGCAATGCACAAATCAACCTAAGTTATCTTTGAACGTGGAAATGGAATTAGCCTAGCGTCAAGAGAGTTAGGAGGAGCTGGAGCCAGGTGAGTCTGTAGGATAACCCCCTCCCCATGCCAGCCCAGAATATCACTCCATGGTTTTCTCGAAGAGCGAAGGTGATAGACGATGGCGTGCATGCTCATCGATTGCTCGTTTGAAACCCATCGGGCCTTTTCCTAAAGCACTTCAAGTTATGAATGATTCGTGCACATAAACTAAGAGGAGGAAGAGTTGCGAGAGGGAAATATACTGCTTTGTGATTCTTAGCCTCGAAAGTGCTATCATACTTCAAATTCTACGTCTTGCTATATTCTTGTGCAACCCAGAGCAATTTGCGTCGTCATCGAATTGGGTATATCTGCGTCTCTTTTTCGCATCCAATCTACTCTTATCTACTCCCCAATTGATTACTCTTGTTGATCTGGCTGCACATACATGACTTAAAAGAAAAAAAAAAAACAGGTCTTGAGTGGTGGCACTGTTGCGATGGGTGGCGCGAGCGCCCGACCAAGGAGGGGTTTGCACGCCAGATGCCTTGCATTAGGCTCGCTTTGTAGGATGACAAAATCTTATATGCTATATTACGAATAGTTGTATAGCTTTCTTCTTGAATGTGTCTTCACGGTGAATGTCGGCTCCATTCGTTATTTGAGGTGGAGTAGGCTTGGGCCCACTCTGCCTACATTGACTATTATCACTGCAGAAGATCATGAGTCGCCGCTGCCGCGGTGTGAACCCCACCTACCTACCCTGGAAAATGGGGACACTCCTGGAAATCAGAAGCATTTGACTCGGGAAACGCATCGAGCTAAAATATCGCCCGAGAGAAGTAGAAATGTTTCACTTTAAGCCACGCCTCTCATCGACACAGAAGTCACAGGAAAAAGTGATCGACGAAAGAGATATTCATCCTCGCCCAACCAGGTCGAAGACTCCCTCGTGAACTGCCTCAGCGGCGGGAAGCCCAACGAGAAGGAAGAACGCGACTCGAGTGAAGAGACTCCGGAGACCGAATGGCGAGGGCCTCCCAGGTGGGACGGCAACGCGTTGCACTGAAGAAAATAAGTGGGAAAAGGTGGGAACAGCGTTCTCATGCTTCTTGGTGTGGTGAAAGTCGAGCTTGCAACAACTTACGAATTCTGCGAAAGAGTGGCCATTCTGCAAGTTGCTCCGCAACTTCCGACAGCTCAACTCAACCTCGTCACGAAAAGGTAGAAGTCAAATCGAAAACTTTCATTCAGTCTTCACTATAGAAATCTAGTGACGACATTTTGCCTTCAAGATCGCAACGCCGTCAGTAAATAAATCCAGAAGACCCACTGAAAGGCATGGTGGTCCCAGACCGATTTTCTTCGATATGAAGGTCCTCCGGGGTCTCAACAACAACACGAGCGACACGAGGGAAGAACGGATAACATTAATAATAATTAAAAAAGGAATCACGCGGAGACGTCGCTTGCGTCGGTTCGCGGAATCCAGGGGCTGGAGTCTCTGTGTTGCACGGAGACAAACTTTTCGTACGTCCTCCCGCGAATGTCATGGGTCGCTGCGACAAAACAAATCAGCAGTTGCCTTGAAAATTTCATGATAAAAAATCAATGATGGAAGTTCCGTCATGTGGGCATACCTTGGCGATGGGATTCGGGTCGGTACTCAACGGATGGAAGACGCACTCGCGTGTGCGGAGGGTTCAGGAATCCATTCGGCAAGGCTTCATACTACGAGGGAGAAACGGACTTCAGCATGGAAATAAGGGAAAAGACGAAAGGAACAAAAAAAAATTGGGGGATCGCTCACTTTATGAGATTCGTCGATGATTGCTTCGACAGGAGCATCGTGGAATGCCTTTATGTCCGGGAGATTCGCCACCACTTCCCGAACGATCAAGTCCGCCATCTGCAATTCGTATTTTCGAAAGGAACGCAAGAACGCAAAAATGGAAGACGAGGCGCGAAAAGACCCGCAGACCTTGATGTTCCGTTCGATGATGAAATGGACGTCGAAATCGTCCTCGTCCTCGCCGAACGGGTTGATGAGCATCTCGGCCACCTTGAGCCAGCCCATGAAGAACACCAGCTGCTGGCACAGTGCAAGAAACGGAATAAAAGGGACGGATCGAGAATGAATAAATGGAGAAGACCGGATGAAGAGACCTGCATGACCGGAAAAACCGGGAAATAAATGTCCAGTCCGTCCTGCTCTATGAACTGGCTCGCCATCAGAGACAGGAACCACCACGTGTAACATGCTATAGTCACCACCTAAACATCCAGAAAAAGTTTCACCTCTTAGATGTAGCAGCATTGCCATCAAAATCTCATATTTTGACGACTATTTTCAATCGGACTGGAAGCCGTGGAACGATAAAGCAATGGACTAGGAACTCTTTGGTATTAATAAAAGAAATGGAAGGAAAATATGTGGAATAACTTTTCGATTTGGTAATATTGCTGAGCTACTCGATTGATGAAATCTTTGTGAAATATTGCCAAGCCAGTGGTCCTCAGAAGTTCAATAACCCTTCAATGCATGACGTTGCTAGGTGCCATACACCCCTGGTGGCAAGCAAATGAAAGGAATCTGGCTTAGTCTGGTGACAGACTGACGTTTTGGGTGCGATTCATTTTAAACTTTACGCTAATCCAGGGTCCAGGCTCATCCGTATTTTTACATTTTCTTTTGCGTTGAGGTATGTACGAGTGTTGACGGACCGACTGAGCTTTCTAGCGTCCATTCAGCGTGGGTTAGAAAGCTGAAAAAGCCGTTTGTGACAAATGAGCAACAATAACATTTTCGGGCCTACTGCTTACAAATTTGTGGGAAATCTTTTGTTTCCAATTTTCCCGTGTTCTAGGACCTAAGTAAAACCTACCAATGTTTTTTGCAGAAAAAGAATAAATAATGCATTAAATGATTAAAGGGTTAAATGCTGAGAAACTATCTGCAATAGGTTAGAGCCACTTCGAACTAATAAGACTTTCGCGCATTAAAATAAGCTTCAATTCCATGAATTGCTTTTGCCTATGAACAGTGACGATGACATAAGAAGTGGCGATCGAGTCTGACCTGGGTGTAGACGAGGGGAATATTGACATTATCGATGTCCCGGCACTGTCCGAGTCGAGTTCGGACGCCACGGATCTCCGAGATGATGCTCTGAAGCCCCAGGTTCGTGTCCACGAGCCCTTCCCTCCTGGCCTCCTCCGCCACGCGACACGCCCACACCATCGGGACCCAATAGGGTGGTCTGTCGCTCCCGTAAATGCTGCATAGGAGCTCGAGTTTCGTCTTCTCCTCGCTCGTCAGCATGCGCGGGATGTAGCCCGATTCGTCGCTGCGGCAACGAGTGCCCGGATGCGGTGCCTTTCCCTCTTCGCATCTGCACGAGGGGCATTGCTCGTCGAGGAGGTTCTGCAGCTCCCCAAAGTGCCTCTCCGCTCGGGTGCTCAGAGTTTGAAAGCAGAAGATGATCCCCAGGTGGACGTAACGCATGATCGCTAAACGGTACTTCAACGCCTTCTCCGGCTGCAAGAGGGACCCGAAATATCGTGTCGTAAGTACATACGACGTATATATATGTATATCCAGTATACTGCCCCCCCTGCTACTTTACGCAAATACAATACTTTTTTGTACTTAACGTTTTTAATTTCCTTCGGGGCCCCCCTGGAAGAGTGGGGCCCAGGGCAACTGCCCCCTTTGTCCCCCCCCCCCCCGCCCTTTAATCCGGCCCTGACTATATGGGATGCTTGCCAAAACCCTTGTGGATGCGAATGGGTCAGAAAAGCTGCTTTTTAATGGGCCTCCTTTCCTGAAAGGAAAGAGAGCACTTATAGTCCCGTCCTGTCCGTCCGTGTGTCACACTTTGGTTGTCCAACGATTTCCAAAAAAAATATTGGTCTGATCAATGTGAAAATTGGCTAGAGGGTAGATATGAACAAGGTACAGGCTGAGTTCGTTTTGTGGCGAATTAGCCCCAAAATTGGCTTTTTTTATTGAGATTTTTGGATTTGAAATTGGGTCGCGGAGGGGAAGGCATGAGTACCCATGAGCCCTTCAGGCTGTGGATCGCAATGCGCATGCGCGTACGACCCAGGCTTTAGGCGGGGCGCCGTGTCGGTAACCAGAGCTGTCAGTTCCCTACCAACCTTCGTGACGGATGCATCCGACCACACGCAGTCCTCCATCCCTCCATCATCGTTTCATGGACACCGTTTGTCTAAGTTTACCAAATTTAAATGAAAAATTCGGTTTTTGATGGTCGAAGACCGGAAAGAGATGGCATTTTGTTCAATTATGTGAAAAAATGAGGGCTTCCTTAACCGAAAGGAGGTCCACCACTGAACTGGGCTTGCCCAGCTTGTTTTGGAATATTCTGAAAGCGATGGCTTTGTTTTTGTGTGTTCCCTTTTTCCAAAAGTAGTAAGTTATTTTTGTGGAAGTGAGCAGTGCGAAAACGACTACCTTCTATAAGCCATCATTACATTTCATTCCCTCGATAAAGCTTTCATTTTCGGTTGCTTTGCAAAACTATGAACTACATTGTCAAATTACAGGGTGCGGGAGAATGGAGTCCCACATTTAAAAGGTTAATAAAAAAGAAACGGTAAAAGATACGAAAAAAAAAAACTTTTATTTCTGAAAAGTACATGTAATAAGGTTTCATTTACTTAGGTTTTAAAAATTATGTCGGGCAAATGGCGGCCGTCATGGATGATACACTTCCGAAGTGCTTCCCTGAAGTGCAT